ATATATTGAACCAGAAGCTAAGTAAGCAAGCTGGGTCTTAAAAAAAACTTGCACTGATCAAGTTTATAAGCTTGTAATTTATCTGGTTGATCATCCCTAGAAATGATGAGGCATGTTATAAAAGAATTCTGCTGGTCTCATTCAATAAAATCAATGTAGAGCATGCAGCAGTGTTTCTCAACTTCGGCCACTTTAAGACATAGTGTTCGTTCCCAGAATTCCCAGCCAGCATATGGTTGGGGAACCTATGAGCTTCCCTATTTATGTGGTCACAATTTGATGGCATATAATCAATCAATCAAGGAACTTTCCTTCCTTCCTTCCTTCCTTCCTTCCTTCCTTCCTTCCTTCCTTTCTCAGACAACCATTTGTCTGAAATGGTATAGGGTTTCCTACCTGAGCAGGGGGTTGAAGTAGAAGACCTCCAAGGTCCCTTTCTATTCTATTCTGTTCCGTTCCGTTCCGTTCCATTCCATTCCATTCCATTCTATTCTATTCTATTCTATTCTATTCTATTCTATTCTATTCTATTCTATTCTATTCTATTCTAAGCTTTCCTTCCTTCCTTCCTTCCTTCCTTCCTTCCTTCCTTCCTTCCTATCTATCTATCTATCTATCTATCTACCTACCTACCTACCTACCTACCTACCTACCTATCTATCACCAAGTTTCTATCTACCTACCTCTGTCTGTCTGTCTATCTGTCTGTCTATCCTGGCTAGATATCCATCCATCCATCCATCCATCCTCCAAGAACTGACACCAAGTTGATGGTGCATAATCAATCAGCCAATCAATAAGATTTTCTAGGCCTGCTTGCACTCTTGTCAAGAATTACTTATTTTTCATTTCTTTTCTTACTTCCCCCGCCTTTAGAAAACAAAGAAAAAGTACAGAAATGTCTTTTTAAATGTTGCTGTGTTATAAAACTTCTGTACGTGTCAAACTCCAAGGGTTTTTTTTTTCCCCTCCTCCTGAGAAGAAGAAACACTATCGCTCTAAAAACTCTTGAGATGGAATCTGTCATCTTTCAGACAAACCAAATACAGAGAGAGTTGTGACATTTTTGTCAATTTCCCTGGTTTTTTTCCCCTCCTTTGAAGATGGAGAGAAACACATATACCGCATTCCTTTTCTGCAGCTGAAACGGTTGCTAAGTTCTGAAAAATAATTTATGAGGTTCTTGATGAGATGGCTTCTTTTACTTGATCAAGAGAAGTACCTAGCTTGACTTTTGCAGGGTTTGCATTAACAGAGGGATAGAATCAAGATCACGTGAAGTGTTAATACCACTTAACAATGCCTTGGTAAGGCCACACTTGGAATACTGCATCCAGTTTTGGTCACCACGATGTAAAAAAGATGTTGAGACTCTAGAAAGAGTACAGAGAAGAGCAACAAAGATGATTAGGGGACTGGAGGCTAAAACATATGAGGAACGGTTGCTGGAATTGCGTATGTCTAGTTTAATGAAGAGAAGGATGAGGGGGGACATGATAGCAGTGTTCCAATATCTCAGGGGCTGCCCCAAAGAAGAGGGAGTCAAGCTATTCTCCAAAGCGCTTGAAGGCAGGACAAGAAGCAACGGATGGAAACTAATCAAGGAGAGAAGCAACCTAGAACTAAGGAGAAATTTTCTGACAGTTAGGACAATTGACCAGTGGAACAACCTGCCTCCAGAAGCGGTGAATACTCCAACACTGGAAGAGACTGCACAGCCATTTGTCTGAAATGGTATAGGTTTCCTGCCTGAGCAGGGGGTTGGATTAGATGACTTCCAGGGTCCCTTCCAACTTTTATTACTATTATTATTATTATTATTATTATTATTATTATTATTATTATTATTATTATTATTATTATTATTCCTCCAACTTTGTTATTAATTATTTATTTATTTATTTATTTATTTATTTATTTATTTTGAACTGAAATTAACTTTACTTACTCGTTCTAAAAGAAGCCAAACTAGGTATGCAATAAAGCATGAGTTTCTGGCATCAACTTTTATTTTCAAGAATGCTTCTTAGCTCCAGGACATTCTTAGAACTTGTTATAGGAAGCATCCCAGGAGAAAATTGGAGAGTGGAAACATTCTCCAATTTTTCCTTTGGTAAACAAGTATTGTGAATCTGGGCACTTGTGAATCTGGCAGTGTTTTGTGATGGATCCCGTGAGACAATCTCAGAGTGACCCTTGTGGTCAAAAGATTTCTCCATCCCATTTTCTTCAACAATATTTTATTGCCTGGTATAAATAATTCCCTATTCAGATAAAATATATTTATTTATGTATGGCTGAGATATAGAAGCTCACAACTCCAAAATTATTCTGGGCAGCTTACAGCAAGTCAAGTCAAAGCAGGAAAGAATAAAATCACAAGAAAATATTGTGCATCTGAAGAACCCACACTAACAAAAACCTATAGCCGTGGTGGCGAACCTATGGCACGCGGGCCACAGGTGGCACGCAGAGCCCTCTCTGTGGGCACGCGCACCGTCACCCCAGTCCTAGGCCTCCGCCGCCGTGTGCCAAAAAAAAAAGGTTCAATCAATTTCAACTTCTCG